GGAATGGCAAAGGACACACTGACAAAGGAGATTAATCAGAACTGGCTTTGACAAGCACTGTGGCAATTGGACAATTAAAACAGACATTGGGGGGGAGAAGAAGAACGAACTGGGGAGGAGGGTAGAGGAAACAGTGCAACAATGAAAGAATGAGAACCCAAAATCTCTGTAAATGTTCATTAAAACTAATAAAATAAAATAATAAAAAAAAGAATCAGCCTTTGCTTCTATACTAGTAATAAGAGAAAGGGTACTCTCCTTTCATAAGATATCTGAGGTAATCATGTCTTACCCCTGGAATTAGGCAAGTCCTGGCCAGAGCAACCTGGAAGCTGGGATGAATCTGGGCCTAAGTTGAGGGCAGGGTAACTTTACAGAGCAAATCTTCATCTACCCTCACGTATTCTTGTCTCAACTAGTCTTGGGAGCATGTCCGCAAGGCTTCCTGCAAGCACCTGACACTCCTGCCTGTGCTATAAGGCCAGGTGGCAACACATCAGCTGTCTTTTGGCCAAAGAGCTAAAATCTTAAGGCTTAGGAAAGCCGTAAGGGAAAGATCTGGAGTTTCTTATTCATTCACCAACTTATTCATTCATTCATTCAACAAAGATCTGTTGAGTGCTTATCCTATGCCTGGGCCAGCCAAAGATATGATCCAGCCTTCAAGGCACTCAGAATCTAATAAGCTTTAGCAAGAAGCTCAAAGCTGAAGACCTAGGTGACTCCCAGATAGGCAGACTCTTCCTCTGGCGCTGAGAGCAGCATTTTCAAGGCAAGAGCACAGAGGTGTCTTAGGGCACTTGTTCAGGGCAGGCCTCGTGCAGGTAGAGGATGGTAACTGGGCAGAGGGGATGTGCTCAAAATATCATGGAGGTAAAGTCATCTGTCCCTTGCACAAGATGCTAAAATATCATTAAAGAGACAGGAAAACTCAGGAATTCCCACTTGTACTTAATTCACAGGAATGGCCCCAGCCTTAAGGGACTAAGTTGGGGACAAGCTACAAGGGGATTTAGCGGTGGGCAGTGCATGGAGGGAGACCAGGAGATGCAGCAGGTGGTGGGCTTACCTTGGCAGTGTCCCTTCCTCACCATGATGTAGCCTTGGTCACACTCACAGTGGTAAGAACCCTCAGTATTGGTGCACCGCCCCCTGGTGCACACCTCTGGCTGCTCACACTCGTCTATATCTGTGAACACAAGGGAAAAGTCTCAAGTTGGGGTGATGTACGGAGGAGGTCCCCATGTCTCTTCCTGAGGCCATGCTGAGGCCCAGGCAAGGTGGACATCTATCCTTGCTGTATCTGTGATTGTCAGGAAGGGCCCCATGCCAGGTGTGACACAGTGCTAGGGCTAAACTTCAGCTCCTTCCTCCCAGGGAGGCCCATCTGGCCCTACAACTGTCCTCTCCCCTGGATGTTGGTGCTGGAAAAGTCTCCCAGGACGTCCCCATTCCCAGCACAGAGCCTGAATAAAGCAAATAATATCCCTTTGCTTGTGGATTGTGTTTTCATCTGAGTAATGCTCCCTAGAATTTCAGCGTGTAGCAGAATCACTGGCAGAATGTAGAGAAAGGGCACATGGCGAGTCCTTCAATCAGAGCTACAGGGTGGGTCCAGGAACCAGCATTTTAATAACTCCCCAGGCAATTTGGAAAGAATTGTTCCTTGCTTTGAGAAAACTCTAACCCTGAAGGGACAAAAAAGGAAATCAGGAGACAGAGCCAAGTGTGGAGACTAGAGGAAGAATCCACAAATCAATGGCGCCAAGACAGTCGCCTGATGGATGTGCTAGGGAAACAGAAAACTGAGTTCTTCACGCCGTGTAACGGAGTACTTCATGGAGATGGAAACACAACCGTGAAAGTGGAAGATATAACTGTAAGAGGTGAACATGTAAGCGAATATCAGTGATTTGAGGGTGAGAAGAACTTCTCAAGCAAAGCTTCACCACACACATATAAAAAGGCAAAAATGGGAAATTTCAAAATATGAAAATGAAGGCTTTTTGCTCAAAAAAAAAAAGAAATGTAGATAAGGTTAAGGGGCAGAGGGCAGAATGGGAAAGTTGAAATAACTACGTCAAGACACTGTGACTCTACCATGTTGTTGTTGAGTGCCATCTAGTAAAGTACAACTCCTAGGGACCCTATGAACAAAAAGGCCTGAAGCCTTTCTGTAACTATCACCATTTAGCAAATTCCATAGGGTTTCCAGAGGCATGTTTCCAGAGGAGTGGATACCACTCCTGCTTCCAAGACTATACCATGTATGATGAGGATGGTACAGGATAGGCCAGGGTCATTGTGAGTCTTACTCAATGACATCTAACAACAGTGCCTTTGGGGAGCTCTGGTGGTCAAGTCCTGAGGAGCTGCATTGTTAACCCAAAAGTTAGCAACCATTAGCAACCACTCTGAAGGTTTGAATCCACATTAGTTCTTCAGGAGAAAGCTGGGCAATCTCGTCTCATGCAGCTTACAGCCTCCTGAAAACTCACTGGATGGTAAACTATGTGTCGCTTCTGACTCCCAGACCATGAGCGAGAGCTAGAGGGAGCAAAGTTTCCAGGACGTAATAAAACCCAGTTGCTGTTGAGTCAACTCCCAGTCATGGCCACTCCCCGAGCTTCGGTTTACAAGTGTGCCCCTGAGGTTTGAGTTTTGGCATTAGATTGGCAGGCCTCTCATTCCAGGGCCCTCTGAGTGGACTCAAACTTCCAACCTTTTAGTTAATAACTAAGCATTAACTAAGCATGCACCATCCAATAATGCCAAAACTCAACCCACAACAAAAATCCAAGCCTGTGGACAGTTCCGATTTATCTCCACCTTCACTGGGTCAGAGGCTGTAAATCGTGACCGGAGACTGTGCACTTAATTTCACAGAGCTGCTGATGGTGGGTTCAAACCACTGATCTTTTGTTAATCCTTTTGGGGCTACATGCCACCAAGGCCCCTGCTCCAGTGATCTGGAATATACAAACACTAGCGATCATAGTAGAACTAGTTCTGACCTCGATCCATTTCCAAGGCTATAAATCTTTACCCACCGAGCTGCCCTGTGGATGTGAAACGCCGACCTTTCAGTATGTATTACAAGGAAACACACCAAACATTGGGAAAATGACCAAAGGCTAACAATTTACAGAGGAGGAAACCAACAGGCTAACATAGGAAGAAGAGGCACTCACCTGCACAATGCGGTCACTTTCTGAGACTGACGGGATTTAGTAAGCAGGTATGATATCTCCTACTGAAGCCACCTCAGCTGACCTCGATTCCCCTGACCCCTCAGCAAGCTGTTAGAGCTGGCCAGACATCAGCAGTGGAGACATGGTTCTGCACAGTACAGGGCTAGTACAGGCCACGCCCTGCGTCGGCCCAGCCAACCACGCCCGGAGAAGCCCCTACCTACCCCGCTAGCCTAGCCCCACCCCTCACCTCAGCTCCTCCCCTTGTTTCTCCAGCTCCACCCCTCACTTCAGCTCCACCCCTTGCTCCCCTGGCTCCTTCCCTTGCTGCCCTGGCTCCTCCACCTGCTTCTCCCCACCCCTCCCTTCAGCTCCTCCCCTTGCTTCTCCAGCCCCACCCCTTAGTCTGGCCCCTCCCCTCGGGCACATGGCTCCTCCCCTCGCTCACCTGGCTCTTCCCCTTCATTTCCCCGCCCCTCTCCTTTACCCAGCCCTTTTCCCTTGACCCAGTCCCACCTCTGGGGGTGGTGGGGGGTGGTGACGAAGGTCTCAGCTCCTGCCACTTCCCTCATGTGCCCATGAGGCAGTCATATCAACTTTTATGACCACTAGAGAATGGTAGGAATAGTTCCTTTACTCGGAATACCTTCTGCACCCTCCATACTTATTCTTGTCCTCATGGCCTGGCCAACAGCTTGCTTTAAGGGAGTATGTCACTGGAAACAAAACAAAGTGTGGAAACGGAATGATCGTGCTATTCCCAGCTCTGCCATGACCAGATATGAGATCCCTGAGTGTTTCAGGTCGCCTGTCAGAGCCTATCAAATGCCTGCTATTCTCAGGAGGATCCAGTTGGGTTATGACTCCTATGGTATTGCTTGGAAAGCGTGCAATGTATATTGTTGGTAGATCCATTGCTGGGAAACCGCATAGAGTGTTCTGTATGGCAGTATAAATGTTGTTAGGTGTCATTGAGTGGACCACTCACAGTGATCCTGTGGACAACAGATCTAAACCTTGTTCTATCCTGTACCATCCTTCTGGTCTCTAATAAGCCCAAGTCCATTACTACAGTCACTGTGTCAGTCCATCTTGTTAGGGTCACCTCTGTTTCTATGACCTTCCACTTTTCCCAGCATGTTGTCCTTTTCCAACCACTGGCCCCTCTTAACAGCATGCCCAAGGTATGTGAGGCAACGCTTCATCATCTTTGCCTCTCAGGAGCACCCTGGCCATACTTCCTCCAAGATAAACATAACAGGTTTGATTGGGAAGCTGTCCAGTGGTATCACTCACTCACTGCCTGTGAGTCAGCACCAACTCATAAACGACCCTCCAGCAGGTTTTCAGGAGGCTGTGAACTGCACGGAGTGGATGGCTTCTCTTTCTCCTGCAGAGCCACTGGTGAATTCCAATCACCAGAGAGGTGTCCCATTTGGATTAGCAGCATGACTTCCTGCAGGCTTCACCACCAGACCTCCCTAGTGGCATCACTGTTGCTGTCGTCAGGTACCTTCAAGTCAGAACCAACTCCCAGCCGAGCCTGGGGCGGGTTTTCAGAGGCAGTAAATCACACGGGAAGAGACTGCCCTGCCTTTCTCCCATGGAGCAGCTGGTGAATTCAAACTGCATGCCTTGGCCTGGCAGCACACCGGCCGGTTCCGACAGGATGGTACACAACAACAAACCACCAGAGTTCCAGCGGCATCACTGAGGGGTGCACTTGGCACTCCCTGACATTATCAGAAAGGGTGACACCAATATGGCCCTGGAGTCATGGCCCTGGAGACTTCTGTGATGACTGCAGGGAGCATCACTCCGGTTGATGTCACCTGTCATTCAGTACAGTCGCTGTGAGCTCCCCTCCCATGCTCCTTGAATGGGGTTCTCATGGGGTATCCTCTTTCTCCAAAATGAAAGCAGCATTGTGCTACTCGAAGTTCAGGGACCTGCCTTTGGCCTCCATCTCCAGCCATGCCCTTGACCTTGTGGCACTCTTGGCACCAGCCACAGCCCTGAGTCCTCTGTGAGCCTCAGGCAAATCCTAATTCCCCTCTGGCCTGTTCCCCTGCACTGGGGCTGGGTGTGGTAGATGCCTACGTCCCCTTCACCTTACCTTGATGGCCAGTGGCCATTTCAGCCCTCGGCCTGGGGGAGAAGGCCCTCCCCCCAGACTGCACCGCGGGCTCCTGGATGAGGAGTGATGGCCTTCCATTTCCTCGACTGGACCACTCAATGAGATGTCCCAAGAAGACTCATTCTCCTGGCTAACTCAGGGTGAGGCTGGTGGGGCCTACCTTGGCACTCCTGCATGGTCCCTGAGGTGGTCAGCACATAGCCACGGTAGCAAAAACAGGAGTAGGAGCCCACGCTGTTGACACAAAGCCCTTTTCCTGCACAGGCGTCCCTCGAACACTCGTTGTCATCTGAGCCAGAGGGAAGGAGACATATCAGAAAGGACTACTGTGCCTTTCTTTGGGCACCTACTGGCAACCTTCCCACACCAGAGGACTGGGTGAAGGCTATGTTGTGGGGCATGGAGGGGTGAGGGGGCAGAAGAGGCCCAGGAGAGGAAGGTCTCTAAGACCGAGAGCCTTGAAGGTGGCCCATCAGGTCTATACAGCGTGACCCCCAATTCTGACCTCTGAGCCCTTTCCCCGTGGCCCTGCAGTGATCTCTTTTCTCTTCTGGAACTACAGCAGATTTATATTAGATCTCCCTTATATAAGAATATTGGGTTTTGGAGGTTTGAGTCACATCTGAAGATTTATTTTTGCCCTAAACTTCTTCTCTCAGAGATCTGAGGAGCCACTTGTAGCTAGAGCCAACCTTGGTCCTTTCTGCAGGCAGCAAGATGGCCAGTCTGAGGGGTTGGTTGATCTCAGAGCTCTGGGGTGGGCTTCTACTCTCTTGGCATCTGGAGTCTCACCAGATAGAGCTGCAGTCATGGGCCTTTTCCTGAAGGTGCTGGTTAGCTTTGTCCAGGGGGACCACCTGGTTTAGGATCCTTCCTAAACCCTGCCACTCATGCTTCCCTGGGAGGTTCTGTTGCCTTGACTGTTGACTCAGTCTCCACCCTGCTCCCACCAAGGAAGCCAGGACACCAGGGCGGGTACCTGTACAGTAGGCCTGGCTGGAGTGGAGCCGGTAACCAGGGCTACAGACACAACTGTATCCATCTGGGAGGTTCACGCAAGTTCCAGGCCCACAGATGTTAGTGGCTCCTGCAGCACAGTTATCGATGTCTGTGGGAGATAAGGGAGCAGTTGGGGTGGGTAGAGTGAGCAAAGGCAGGGAGGAGGGAGAAGAGAGTACAGGGGCAGGGCTGAAAGATCCTGGAGGACCAACAGAAGTCCCACCGTACCGTTAGCCAGGCTCTTCCGTGTCCACACACAGCAGGGCTTGTCTAAGACCCCACTGGATCATCTCTCCCCAGGGACCCTGAGCCCAAGCAGGATTGAACCACATTAACAACACATCCTCCTGCCCTAGGCCCAGCAGAGCTCAGGAACTTACACTGCCCCACAAAGCCCAGCTTGACTGCATCCAGAATCCAGGAACTGATTCTACCGCAGTGCCCAGTGTTACCCCCTCCCTGCATCTCCTAGAGCGGCAGACAGATCTAACGAGTAGGATGCCTCGGGAGACTGCCAGGGGAAAGGGAGAGGTGGGTCAGAGTCCAAAAAGGAAAGGCATTGAATGCCACACTGAGACGGACTTGTAAGCAAGGTGTGGGAGTGGTCAGAACTGTCTCAGAAAGGCCTCTCAGGATGGAGGATGGACTGAGATGGGGAGACTCAGGGAGCGGGGAGGTCCAAGAAACCTGTTGGAATAATTTAAAGGAGGGCTGCCTTGGACCTCTGGCCGTGAAACATGAGAGGCAGGCGCTGAATTGAGAAGCATTTTGGAGGCAGCCTCGACAGGACGGAGGGCTGAGCTGGGAGAGGGCAGAGAATCTCTCAGAGATTTTCTGTTCTGAATTGTGTTCCCAACAGCAGAGAAATTCTGGCACTGAACATTAGCAACAGCTGAATGAGCAAATGAATGGATGAAGGACGCTGTCAGTCTGTGTGTCTGCTGAGGTCTAAGCCTGAGGCCTACATACCTAGGGATCTCCCCTGGAAATGACTGGCAAAGTGACCTGTGTTGGTACACAGCCATATTTGCTAAATTGAACTGAACGGAATATGCCCGTTTATAAGTCTACCTTGTTCCCTGGCCTGGTTCCAAGCTTGTTTTAGTCAGGGAGCTGATGAGGACCCTGTGGCTAGGTGTGAGGTTGACTGAGTCAGAAAGAATGGGATTAGACAAAAGGCTGCCTGCAGTGATGGTAGCCGGGGCGGGGAGATGATTCTTGTCCTGTGACTACCTGAGAGTGACTGTTGAGCTTGAACCCTGTGCTTTGCCACCCACACTCTTGCGCTTGTCTTCAGGCCCATTTTTCCTGTCTGAGACTCAGTAGGCACCAGCTAAGGCGCTTGGTCCAGCACATCTTGCTTCCTGATTAGAGAAGGGAAGGGGCCACTCTCTGGAGCAGCGTGCTGAGCCCACGGGAGAGAGGGGCCGAGGCCAGGGAGAGGCACCTTGTCTCAGGCCCAGGAAAGCCACACCACCCACCCCAGAATAGCTGCGCAAACTCCAGGGCCTCTGCCTTTGCTGGATGAAACACAGAAAATACCCTAGGCTGGCCTGGGCTTTCAGACCTCTCTGGGAGCTTAAGAGATCAGCGAGTCCCTGGAGAGAGCATGCACAAGAGTGCCCACATGATCAAATGTGACACACAGAAGCACGTGACACAACTTGGCCTGCCTCTTTTGAACCAAATCCCGAAACAGTGAGCCTTGAGGGCACATTCCAGAGCAAGGTAGAGTTGCCAGACATCTCCCGATCCCACCGGGCACTCCAGCCACCAGAGAGGGAGAATGCAGGCTGTCAGATGGCTGAACAATCTTGAAAAACAACTTTGCAAGTCAGCCCTCCTGTTGGCAGGAGGCCACCCACTGCCAGAGCACCCAGCTGACTCCGAGGCCCACTTTACAAGCTCCTTCCTTGAAAGGCTCTTGGGGCGGAGTGGGAGGGGGGTGCTTCTGGAATAAGACCCTCCCTACAGAATCCCTTCTTCCTGTCCTCCTGGTCTTGACCAGTTTCTGAATTCCTGTTTGCACTTGTGTTCTTTGTTAAGACCTGGGGAACCTCAGCCTGGGCTGGAGTTCACTGGAGAATTCTACTCATGCTGTGCTCTGGAGTTGGCTCTGGTGGCAAGACCGTGAAGGACAGGCTGCAAGAGCCTCCAGGGAGCTGGGTGCAGGTACCTGGGGGGCCCAGGGTGGCCAGGACGTTGGTCGGGGAGGGCACTTGCTCGTCTTCCCAGGTCTCAGCAATTGCCTGTCTGGGTGGTGGTGGCGTCAGTCTTCCACTGGCATCTGCAGAGGGAAGAGGGGACAGCTGTCCCTTTAAGCATACCTTTCCCTTCTCCCTTCTGTTCAGACTCCCAAGAACCAGTCCCAGGCGGCCCACGTGCCTTCTGGTCTCCTGACACTAGACCGGCTCACATATGGAGTAAGAGAATCTGATACTCCACAGGCCTCTGAGTCATAATCCAGTCTCATCTCCCCTTTCATCAGTGAGGAGACTGAGGCCCACAGAAATGGCAGCTTGTCCAAGACCAGTCAGCGTGCTAGAAACAGAAGCCCAGGTCTTCTGATTCCCACCTCAGCATCTCTTCCCTTCTGTTTGCAAAGCACTGAACAATTTTGTGCTACAAACATTGCCAGTTTATTTACTCAAAGGGGCAGCAGGGCAGGTACACGAGGGCCCATATAACAGAGAGAGGACCTGACGCTCAGCTCTCTGAGTCTGTGTTGATGACAGTGAAGCTGCTCTGCAGAGCCTTGACAGCTTCCCAGAGGTAGGACAGGGCCACCAAGAAAGAGTTCAGGCATCCAGCCACTCCCCTGCTCCAGGTATTACTTCCTCTTTGATCTGATTAATGTGCTGAGCAATCACACGGCATTCAGAAAACAGTGTGGTGACTATTGCACAGCACTGTGATGCCTCTCGTTCAGGGCACCTTAGCACAGGAGCTCCAGAAAAAGCATCACTCATGAGCTCATCTGGTTTGAACCTTAAAAACTGGCCCACCCCAGGGGCAGGAGGCCTCCTATCAGCCTGTCAGTTCATGTATAGTGTGACATCATCCGCAGATTAAGGTCTCTGCTTCCAGCCCTGCTCTTGTCTCTGAGAACCTCCAGGAAGAAGGACTCACCTGGGACCCTGATGGGTGTGTGGGTGACATCGGTCGTGACCTGCACAGAAACAGGAGCGGGTCAGTCTTGGCTCCTCTGTCACTCGCACATGCACTTCCTCCCACCATGCTCACCCTACCTCTAGGAGTTCTGTCTAACTCACTCTTTCATTTCCCTTCACTCCATACGCTGATGAATGCTTACTGTGTGCCAGGAATTCCACTAGACTTTGTATCACTGACTTATTTATCTTCTCAACCATCCCATGAGGCAGGACGCATGACAGTGACACGCTCTGCGGCTGTTGTAATGATTAAATGACTGATGCATGCGATGTGCCAGTGCGGGCCCAGCACACAATGCAGGATCCACATATGTGGGTCCGATGCTAAGGCCCTCGCATCTCAGATGAAGCCTCAGAAGCTGCAGAGATTAACAAGACTCCCGGGGATCAAAGAGCCAGCGTGGTGAAGCGCTGCACCTGGGGTCCCTCACTGTAGCCCAGGGACAGAGGCAGAGCAGCTGGCAGTGCCGAAGTGGGAGGAGAAGAATGAGACAAAGACAATGAGAGACTGGAGCCAGCTGGAGTCTGCGAGGCTGCGGGGTTAAGAGCTTTGGGCAGAAAGGAAAACGACGGGGAGCCCCAGGGACAAAATAAGCCTCCTGGAGAAACAGTATCATAGACAGTCACACCGGCAGGCTGGAGAAGTGGGAGAGGGCGGATGAGCAGACCATCAGGGGGAAAAAAAGATTCACTCTTCTGGAATGTTCTAGGACACTTAGTGTTTTATTGGTGAATCCTGGACACAAGGAAGAGGGCAGAGCCGCTTTCTCAGTGAAGTGGTTTAAAGGCTACTCACAGCTGTCCCTCTATATGGGAGGGCCCACCAGCCCCTCAGAGAGGAAATCTTGAGATTTAAGCAAAACAGGATCAAAAGTGCCGAGTCCAGAATGAAACTAAAGCACATGTGCAGTGCTAAAGGTTTGCAGTGGCCACTGGCACTGACTGTGCACTGTAACCCTAACCCTTCAGAGGAGGGAACACAGGCCATTCCAGTTGAGAACACAGGTGGAGTCACTGGCACAGCGTTTGCCTCCACACACAAGAACAGGTGCTATTGTTCCTTCAGGGCAAAACTAGGTCTTTGGTTCAGTACTCCAGCTTGGTCATTTCCCCGAGTAACATCCTGTATTTGCCTCATCCACTCCCTCTCTCCCTCAGAAAAGCCTGCCTTTTGGTCTCAATAGTACCAGGTCCCCGCTCACTACACCCCCAGCCCAGCCCCTCATGAGAGACCTCACTCACCTGGTTCACCTGAGAGTCACCTGTGGAGGGAAAGGTGAGAACATGAGCTCTGGAAGGAGAGTCTTGCTACCCTCCCTGGGGCTGGGCTGACTCAGAGACCACCCTGTGACCTTGTCCTGACAGGACCAGCGATGGGGAAAACTTGGATTTTCTTACCAATCTACATGCCCGCTTCTCAATATCCCACACTGCTGAAACTTGTCATCACAGACTCCCAGAATCCCCAGGTCTTGAGGGCTAAGGCCTCTCCATGGCTTTAAGGCTTTTCAATGACAGGTGTCCCCGACACACCTGGCACCGGTCCACTCCATTGGTCCTAGCTATAATCTATCCCCTCACATGGCGACCTCCTCTCTCTCATCTCTGCCCCACTGACAACCATTGTCCTGGGCTGTAGGCCTGGGGAAACTGTTCTAGGAAGAGAGGATTGTCAGTGTTCAGATCCCATGATGGCTGGGGCTCTGTCTTGCCTTACCTGTCGGCCTGCTCTCGCTTCCTGGAGCAGATGCTCAGGATCTCCTAGGTTACTGGTCCTAACACAGGCCATCTGAATATCTAGCTGTCTGAATGCCAGAGCTACCGTAACCCAAGTGTGCCTTTCTGTGTGTTTCTAAGGCAAGGAGCCCCAGGCCAGGCTCTTTCCAACTCCATCCATGCCTGCTGGATCGAAGGCAGCTGAGCTGGAGCTGAGGCAAAAGGAGATCTAAAGCATGCAGTCTCCCCCATGCCCCCTTGCCAGTCCTCAAGGCCTTGCAGTAGGTTACAGCCTCCTTAAGCTGGAGCAGGGGTGGTCAGCTGGGCTGGTGATCTCTTCCACCTCCAGGAGAAACTCCCTGGGATGTGGGCACCTCTTGAGCCCATGTAGGGGAGGAGGAGGTAGACCTCTTCCCAGCAGCCCGGCCGTGGACAAGGTTCCCAGGGCTGGTGCTGCTGCTCCAAGCTGCCTTTCCTAACATCTCAGCTAACCCAGCATGCACACTCAGGATAAAGACTCAGAAGCTCTCTGAGGTGCTCCAGCCTTTTTATGTGCCATTGAGTTGGAACCGGCCCATAGCTGACTCTCCAGTGGGTTTTCGGAGGCAGTAAATCGCATAAGAAGTGACTGCCCCTCCTTCTGCAGAGCAGCTGTTGGAGTTGAATTGCATGCTTTGGGATTAGAGTGCAGCTAGCTTCTTATCACTAGAGCACCAGAGCTTCCTTCTTCAGCCTTCTTGCTGTTGTTGGTAGGTGCCATTGCACAACTCATAGCAACCCTGTGAACAACAGAACTGAACCCTGACCTGCCTTATGCCATTTTCACTCAGGGGAAAGAAGAATCTCTTAGGTATCCGTCCTCCCCAGCCCAGCGCAGTACCCTTGTCAGGGATAGTTTCAGGCTCAAGCCAGGTGGCAGTGGCCGCTCGGAGTGGCTGTCTCTCGGCTGGCCAGGGTAGGGTCCCGTTGCTCTCTGGCCCTTGCTCCCGGGAGGGCCTGCCTAGTTCCTCCTTCTCGGCTTTCCGCATGGACAGGCGGATGTCCGAGCTTGAGTAGGTGTAGCCATGGCCTGCTGGGCAGATTTCCCGGAAGGCCTCTGCAAGATCAACAGCCAGAGGAGAAGCTGAGGGCTGCCATTCTGGAAGGAAACCAAACCCTCCCACCCTCTCTGAGGACAGAGGAAGGAGTGAGACCCAGGCTGGGACGAGAGGTTGAGCAGGGAGAAAATAGTGGGGTTGAGAGAGGCTCCCTCAGGACAGAGAAAATGGCCACCAGCTTTGGTGTCCAGAGCTGGAAGGAGGCAGAGAGTTACCTGTGCCAGGCAGGGGACACTTCTCACACTTAGTGCCCCATGCTTTGCCCACACGGCTGCAGCAGCATATCTGTTTGGTGATCCGCTGGGCCAAAGGCAAGGTGCAGGTTCGAGGCCCCAGTGACCGGTAGCATAGTCCCTGCTGCATGGAGATGGCCTTGTCCGCTACAAGACACAGCAGGTGGAATGGGCAGATGGCCAGCGGGAGGGTAGGCACAAACTGGCCATGCTGTGGATGGAGCTGTGGCCACGTGCACCTTGGCACTGGCCACACCTACTCTTCACCCTGCACGTTTGGGACCCTGAGAAAGCTCACAGGAATCATAGAGGAAGAGCCGCAAAGGGGAGACCTGAACCCTCTCCTGCTGGCCTTGTTTGATAAGACCCCTGAAACTGGGAGCAGAAAATGGGGGTGTGATTGTTTATCTCCAGGTCCTGGGTTCATACTCAAAACTCACACTCATCACCTTGGCATCATAACTGGTTCATAGCTGACCCTCCGCTGGGTTTCGGAAGCTGTAAATCACATGGGGGGAGATTGCCTGCTTTTCTCCTGAGTTGCTGCTGATGGACTTGAACGTGGCCTTTGGGTTAGCAGCTCAACTAGAGTGCCCCTGCTAAGCTCAAAGGCAGTTACCAAATGCCCATTGTGTGTCTGGAAAGGAGAGAGGAGCTATGTGTGCTGAGGGCCATACAGTCTCCCTGGGGACAAGAGACAAGGAGAGAGCCAAAGAGAACTGAAGGGGTTTTTGAGAACAGGAGCCTGTTTTGTCATCTCTGTAACCGAGGTCCTTTCCTCAGTGAATAGTGTGTGCACATGCTCTGTGAATGCTTGTGGAATCAGTACAAGGATGGTGAAATCAATAAACCAATGAAAAATTGGATCAATAAATAAAAATCTGTGAGTCACAGTGAGCTTGAGCTATGCAGGCTTAGATAATAATAATGATACAGTCACCTCTGTCCCTTTTCTTATATTTGAAGAGTAAAGAGAAAGAACATTCTCTTGTAAATTATCTCAAGAATATACAAGTGGCTAGACCATACTGGAAGAACCTGGATCCCTACAGGTCTGGCTAGACTTTGTGGAAATGAGAGGCAGGGTGAAGAGGACATCTACCAAAGATAAGGAACTGACCAAATTAAAATTCCAGTCCCTAATCCACCAGAAGCTACCTGACCGCAATGAATCTCAGTTTCTTTTGTGTAAAATGAGGATAATGGTGATAATTTCATGGAGAGTAGAAAACTGTTTCCTCCCACCCAGCATCTCTGCCCTTATATTCTAACAAGAGCATCCTGGTTTTCTCATGACAACCCCCTCCCCTAATCTCCTTTCTTGGAGTCAGGAGCTGACCAGATTTTCTAGTTTTAGGAGTGTAGTCCACGCCTCTGGTCACAGGGATCGGGTCAGGAACAGGTACATGGTCAAGTTGGCCCAATGATAATTCTCACCTTTAGAACTTTTCTGAACTATTAGAATGTAGGTGCTCTTTCTTGGGGTGGGTGTGGGGGGATTGTATACCAATGAAAGAATTTTTTTTTAAAAAAAGAAGAAAGTAGGTGCTCTTTCTCAAATAAAGTTCAGAAGCTAATATGATGTAGACCTAGGACTGTGACACTGGCCAGACGAAACAGAACAGGAAATATGGTAAAAATATACCATGGATTCCTACCTCCAACCAGGCTCGAAGCCTCAGCTTCCCCTGGTGTTTCTAGAGGTACTTTTTGCTGAAAATAGTTTGAGTTGGGTTTCTGTTTCTTGTATATCAAAGACTAAGAACATCTTCACAGTGTTCTCACAGAGATTAAATAAAGTGATATATGGGATGGTGGTGGTATTATGTTCCACTGATCCAGAACGATTTATAGCTGATTCGCCAGTGATTTTTCAGTCGCAGTAAATTATGTAGAGGATTTTGCATCTCTCTCTCACAGATGGATTAAAACTATGTGTCTTTGTGTTGGCAGCACAACTCCTTATCCCCAGGCCACCAGAACTTCCTGATTATGTGATTGTTGTGCCATCAAGTCAGGACCAAATCATAGCTGACCCTCCAGCAGGTTTTCAGAGACAATAAATCACACAAAAATTGTCTGCTCTTCTTTTGGCAGATTCGGACCACGTGCCTTTGGGTTGATAGAACAATTCCTTACCACCTAGCCACCACACTGCCCTGGTGTATGTTAGAGTGCCTTATAGAAGTATCTTGTACTTCCTGGTTATCATTCAGTCCACAAGCCCTGTAGCTCTAGGCATGACCTCTGTCTCCAGCAGCTATTTCCTTGGGACACTCTAGAAAGGGCTCATTAAGTTCCTGTGAGCCTCAGGGTCAAGATGACCCAGTAAAGAACCTCCCCATACACTGCTGTACAGGCTGTGGTTGGGGGATGGAGGGCAAAGTCCAGAAACAAAGGGGAAAGAAATCACAATGTCTGGAAGGAGTGACGGGTGTGAGGGGCAGAAAACACAGAGCGCTCAAAGGCCACCCCTATTTCCCAAAAGTATCCAAAATAAGGTCTCATTCTGGGACTAATATGAAAAGTCACAGCAGATGTTAAACAACATGCTGGCCTGAAAAAAAGAATTCTAAATGAGATGGGAAGGTCCCTGGGCAGCAGGGACTGTTTGGGTTTGGTGACTGATTGAGAGGTTGGTGGTTCGAATCTACGCAGGGGCACTACAGAAGAAAGGCCTGGGGATCTGCTTTTCTTAAAGATTAAGGCCAAGAGAACTCTGTGGAGCAGTTCTGCTGTGTAGCACTCAGGGTCGCCATGGGTCAGAATTGGCTCGAGGACAGTGGGCTTGCCCTTACTTTGGTTCACGTGCAATGAGGGAGAAGGAAGCATGCCACATCCCCAAAGTCGGTCTGCTGACTCCACCTCCAGGAAGGCCTCCTGAGACTACATTCTTCCTATTTCCTGCCTCCCAGGCAGCTGCCTCCTCCAGAGGCTTCCTGCCTCCAGCAGACAGGGGTGCAGCCCCATCTCCTTCTTCACATGGACACGCTCTCCAACCCTACAGCCTTGGCCATCTCTGACACCTTTCCAGATGCAGTGCTTGGCAATTTGCATACAGATTTGTCTAGCCACAAGGGGCAGTGCTGAGTTGTGGGAATGGCCTGTTCTCGCCCTTGGCAGCCTGTGCTTCCCAGGGGCCAGAAGAGACTGGTTTTATTCTGCTCTGGTCAGGAAAGCCCCATCTGGGCACAGTGTCAGGTCTGCATTTAAGGAGGAGGCTCCAGAGTGGGTCTCTCCCAGCTGAAAGCACAGAGGTCACTGTGAGCAGGGCTGTCTGGTGAGCACGCATCACATACACAGACATACTGCTACCCTTGCAGCCGGAAAGGGCAACGCCTGACATGTGTGGGCTCCTGGACACAGACTCACCCAGAATCACAAGAGGCCCTGGGACTATAGGAAGGCCCAGGTCAGGGCAGCCATACCATGGCCCTTTAAGAGAGATCAGCAATCAGTTGACCAGACAGCTAAACTCAGGACAGAAGAGACAGCAACATCTCAGCCAGATGTGTGGCAGAGGCAACAGACATCCCAAAAATAAACAGGACAGCAAATGGGACAGCAAGGATTTAGGAGAAGAAATATCCCAAAACAAAGAGGAAATATGACTTCCAAACTGCAAAGCAGTTGAAGAAAAGTGAAGTATGAAAAAGCAGAACAACAGCCATGTCCAGCAAGAGGGGCAGATTAGTCTGTGTATGCAGGGCCCAGCTCCAGGCTGAGGAGCAGACACAGGCCCTGGGAAGGGGGTGATGGGGTCTGGGGCCTGGCCTGCAGGCTCTGAGGGTCCAACCCGGCCTCTCTACAGTGAGGCACACTTCCCCCCACTCCCACCCCCAGCACTCACACACACAGCGGCTCCGCGATGGATCCAGCATGAGGCCTGGTCTACAGGTGCAGAGGTAGCTGCCCTTGGTGTTCACACACTCCGAGTCCTTGCAGAGGCCCAGAATCAAGCACTCGTTGATATCTGCAGAGAGGAGAGGGTGAACCAGCACTCACCCCTCAAGGCCCAACAGAGGGAGGGACCAGGGAACAATTCCTTTCTCCAAATAAAACCACAGTAAAATAGGTGCCATTTATTAAGTGGGAGCACCTCCCTCTGTACCTCAGTGTCCCCATCTGTAAGATGGGGATAATGATAATTGTTAGGTCCCAGGTAGAGTTGTTACATCCTTGCTGTCATGTGCTGTTAAGTCATCAAGGATTCATAGTGACTCTGTGATGTGAACCTGGTCCTATCCTTCACCATCGTCAAGAACTCTACCCATACTTGAGCCCATTGTGACAGTCACTGTCAACCCATCTTGCTGCAAGCTTTTTCTCTCTCTTTCTCTCTTTTTTTTTTTTTTTAAATTGTTTTCTCCTGATCCTCTACCTTTCCCAGCATAATGTATTTTCCCAAGGACTGGCACATCCTTGGAAGGGGCTGGTTGTTCTAGGGATCAAAATTAATAGGAGTCCCCATCAGACATAGCACCATATAGCCCTTGAGAGGCACCTGGCCCACATTCTGGGGAGAAGTGATTGGAGAGGGGAGAGAGGCTGGCCTCAGCTCCCGGCCCTTCCTGGTTCCCTCTATTATTCAAACAAAAACAGTCCTCCACCTTCCTTAGTGGAATCAGTCACTCCTATAATTCCCCCAAGTGGCCCAGTATAGACCACCTAGACAGTTCTTGCTGACCTGCACCATCGTGCCCCCATCGTGATCCTCCCCAGGCCCAGCCCCATACCCCTAGCCATACCTTGGCAGTGAGTGAGGTTCAGTCTCCTGTAGCCGAGTGGACATTCCACCTGGCCATTGACAATCACGGGAGAGGCTGAGGAAGGAAGATATAGACAGGTCTCACTGCAGGGCCTTAATTTCCTCTGCAATCTTCATTGGGAAGTGGGGTACCTTCCAGATGACCAGTTACCCAGCAGCCATGAGCTCTGGACCCTGCACCAGTGCCCTAGACAGCTGTGCTTCCACAGCTGTAATTCCATCCCTTGTTCTCAACACCCTCCTCTCAACCACCTGTCTTCTCATAGAACTTCTTACCAGATTTATACATTGCTATTGTTATTAAATCTGGCTTAACCACTTCCAGCTCATAGGAACCTAACATATGAAAGTTTGGAATGTTCCAGTCCTGTACCATCCTCACAGGCATTGTTATATTTGAGCCCATTATTGCAGTCATTATATAAATATAGGGAGCCCTGGGGCCTTAGTGGTAAGGAGTTGTGCAATTAACCCAAAGGCACATAGTTCAAATCTATCAGCTGCCATGGAAGAAAGATGAGCAATCTCTTCCTGTGCGATTGTTGTTGCTGATTGCTTTTGAGTCGAGCACGACTCATAGCAACCCTATGAATAAAAGACCTGAAGCCTCTCTACAAGTATAGGCATTTATCAAAGTTCACAGAGTTTCCGGAGGCATGTTATTTAGAAATTGGATGCCACTTCTACTTCCTTTGAAAATCTGTTGTAGGATAACTATAAATTGGTTCCAGATAGAGGGTACCTAACAACATATTAGTATAATTGTACAATGTATATACAGTTATATAGAGAGAGCTCTCTTGGCCTAGTGAATAGATAGTTTTGCTACCAAGCCAAAGGAGGGTGATTTTAATCTGCGGCCCTCAGGCCTCGTTTAAATTGGTTTTGGTCAAACATTCTTCTAAATGCTATAGCACTGGTCTGTCCGTTTGCTGTACAGAGGTA